AAAGGGCGCCTTAAATTCAAAAAAAAAGTAGGTCCAAGATGAAAACTCGCAAAGGGCGCCTTGAAACCAAGGATGGATCAAAGTTGAAAACCCAATAGGGCAATTTGGATATGATTTAAGAAAGGTTCTGCATCAAGACATCCAAATCTTCTGCAGACTTAACAATTCGGAGAAATGTGGTACTTCTGAACATTGTCGCATTTCAAAGTCTCATTGACAAAGGTTGTACTCAAAAGTCATCTAACGACATATCAGTTCAATGGCGCCCGCATTATTGAAATCTAAGGCATCTGCTTATATTGCTTTCCGTCTTTCCAAAATGTTTGTCATATACTTTGTTCCTTTTTCCTTATATAAATATGACCATTTCTCTAAGGCAATTCCTTTCAAGCATCTTGGATTGAATTTAAACTTAATGATTTATTCACTTTTGAAAAGATAATTGTGTATTATTGTAAAAAGATTTTCTTGAAAGGTACAAATATTCAGAAGCCGACCAGGGCTTATGCACTATACTTTAGATAACTGAAAGGCATTGCCCAAAACAATACTAGAAATAAAATCCTATACATCGGATTTAAACATGGTGAAGAATCCAAGATCAAGATCAAAAATTCAAGATTTCAAAATCAAGAGTCATCAGGACTGACAACCAAAGATTGAAGATTTCCCTCCACATCTTAAAATAACATATTTCACATATGCGTTTTAGGCACACATAAGAACATTGCATCCAAAGCATCGCATATATGCATAATTTTGCAGCTTCTTATTAGAGTCAATTTCAACTTCATAGAGAAAGATATTAAACTTGAGACAATGCAATTTACAAGATTGGATTTCAACTTCACAATGAAGGACGTCCAATTCAAAGCTCAACTTAACAGTGAATGAGCCATCCACGATTTCAACTTCACTAAGAAGGATATCGTGCCCAGTAGATTGACCTAGTGTCACAACAAATGAGTCATCTGCAACAACAAGGGGTTATCTCCCAGCCTAATACAACATAACTCAAGGCGAGAAGACTTATCTATCAACGAGAACTTTCGAGTTCAATTCCATTCAGCTCGAGGGCGTAAGGTAGCAGCGAGGAACTACTTTCCGGTCAAATTTTCATACCAAGGTCTTTAAACCAAGAAGATGGTTAAGGTTGACTAAGATTGGCAGCAAGAAGCCACTTTCTAATTCAAATTTCGAATTATGATTTCAACTTCCCAATAAAGGATATCATTGTTCAAAAACAATTCCTTAGTCATCCACAATATGGCTCAACAATAGGAAGTCATCCCTTTCTATTCTCGATTCCACAGCAAAGGGTAGTTGATAAAAATTTAACGGCAACCTTAAGTTGAAATTTCGAGCTCAGAAGTCAACCGTTCTCAAAAAAGCAGATTGCCCCGAATAAAAATTTGCTCCTTTTTGTCTTTACCAAATTTTCCTTACACGATATGGGAAAAGAAGGGCATTTGTAGTCACTTATTTTCTCCCGGGGTGCTATTTAATATATATAATATACATATATAATGTATAGTTTTTTAAATGTTTCGAAAACATATATATAATATATAGTTTTTGAAAATATTTTGAAAATATATATCTAATATATAGTTTTTGAAAATATATATAATATATAGTTTTTGAAAACATTTTGAATATATATATATTATAGTTTTTGAAAACATTTTGAAAATATATATGTAATATATAGTTTTTGAAAATATATATAATATATAGTTTTCAAAAATATTTTTGAAAATATATATATATTATATAGTTTTTGAAAACATTTTGAAAGCATATATATAATATATAGTTTTGAAAAAATATATATAATATATAGTTTTTGAAAATATTTTGAAAATGTATATAATATATAGTTTTTGAATATATATATAAATATAGTTTTTAAAAACATTTTGAAAATATATATATAATATATAATTTTTGAAAATATTTTTAAAATATATATTATATAAAATATTTATGTATTATATTTTATTATATTATTTATTATTTTTATTTTATTTATTCTCTTTTTTTATTTTGGTCCAAATAGGTTCAAGTCCAAATCCAGAAGAAATAGTCCAATCGGGTGGCAGGCCTGACCCAGCAAACCGACCCGGCCAAGGACTCAGCAAACCGACCCAACCCAAGTTCGCCTTACCCAACAAACTAGGGGTTTTAACTTAAGTAAAAGCGCCGCACGATTCTCAGTTGTAGGATCAAGCATCAATCGAAGGACCGAGATCGCATATCAGCTAGTGTTTGTGAAACCCTAAATATGTTATCACACATCGCACTATCCTGAACCATTGGATCTGTAGCCAATCTAACGGCCCAAAACAGACCGCCGAACGAAGTGGAGTTCAGCCGACTTGAAGAAACCTTCACCTAGTGGGAAATAATTTTTCTAGCAACAACAACAATCAATCCAACAACGTGATTCCATAGGATTCAAAAACATGTATTTCTATCCTAATGAAACACAAAAACCGAATGTAAAATAAGGGACTCCTAATGCTATAAATCCTTACAAAAATAAACAAAAAACAGGTTAGACCGAAGCAAAAATAGCACTTGTAACTCGAAAGGTAATCAATAAAGAAGGTATTTCTCTTCTCGGTTTGCTTGCATGTAGTATTGTTCGGGATTTCATTTTTTTAAAAAGGGAATAACCGATGATCGAGGGAAGGGTTTTTCGAGAAGGCTTTCTCAAATCTAGCCCTCCCGAGGCTCTTTTGTGAAAATAAATCAAATTTTTTAAAAGAGATGATGATAGGCTTTCGAACAGTGTAAAAATATTTTGGGTTCATCGTCAATCCACGGCGGTCGGCGAGGTGGAGCATGGTTGGAATATGGGTTTGGGGTTGAATGTTCTTCGAGCGTGAAGAATATTTCAGAGAATTTGAGGGAAAGATTTTTGATTGGTTTGAAGGGAAGGAGGAATGAAATCTGTTTTTGTATTTTGGGCCTTTTATAGCGACCCTAAAACACGTTCGAATCCCATGAAGATCTACGTGTTTTCAGTCGGGTATGGTCAAATTCCAGTGTTGGTCCCTCAACTATTTTGGAAAGCAATTTTGTACCTTTAATTTAATTTTAATTACATTTTTTCTTCTAAATTCATCACCTACTTTATTTATTCTTTTAATTTGGTCCTTTTCTTTATCCAATTCATATTTATTTAATTACATTTTTAAAGACATTATATTTTATGAGTTCTCGATCTAACATTTGTCATTCATTTATTTATTTTTATTATTTTTATTTCTTTTATCTTTGTTAATTATTTAACTTTTGTCTTTGTTTGCACATGATCTTGCAACTGTTTTTTTTAGATTATTTACCCTTTTTCTTTGCTTTGTTTATATTATTTTATATTTTCAATATGTGTGATTTTTTTTATTTATTACTATTTTCCTATTATGTTAATTTCTATTTCTAGGCATTGTATATACTTTTTTATTTCATTTAAAATACTATAATTTAACTTTTGTTTCTCTTTCTTTTGATTAATTCAATACTTCATTTTTTTTAAACATCTTTGTGACCTTTTGGGAGTACTTTTTAGGTAAGTAAATTGGATCGATTTTTTACTTTTTAATTTAACTTACAACATTTTTAATTAAGACAATTGGAAATTAAATCAGTATCGAAAGGGCAGTACAAGGGTGTTAATCCTTCCTTGACTATAATCGACTCCCGAATCCGATATATTTCTGGTAAAATGCAGATCAGGTAAGATGTGTCTGATCAACCTACATGTTTTTTTTTAAAATGATCGATGACGGCTCTAACGCATTTATTTAAGTCAAAGCCCAATACCAGACCCATCCGAAAGACGGCTGCGACACTCTTATAATTGATTGATGCTGCCATGTCAAGAAGGTGGGTCATTGGTGAACAATGTGAACTGTGGGGAGCCGGCACCGAGTCAACATTAATCAGCAAAACATGTTGACAAAACCCTTCTCAATATTTGGCTTGAATTCGTTGTTTTAAATACATACAAATGCGACAAACCACAAACAAACACCAACTCCTGCCGGTGAAATGAAAAAATATTGTCCAACAAAAACACACACCTTGCTTAAAATTTTAGATGCCCTTGTATTTAGGGAATCAGGAACAGACGCAAGATCTTATATCTTATGTTAGGAACGAATTTATAAAATTCTTACTATTGGCAAAACTTGGTGATAAATTTTGAAGGGGTCAACCTAAAATTTTCAAAAATTTTGAAGAGTTTAATTCAAATTTTTTTCAAAAAATTTGGAGTCTAACTAAAATTTTCAAAAATCTGAGAGGCTTAATGAGAATTATAAAAAGTAATGGGAGGGATTTTAAAGCTTAATATGAATTTTTAAAAATTCTCTGGCGGTCAAATAAAACGTTTTAAAATTTTTAAGGGTCTAAAAATGAATTTTTCAATTGAAAAATTCATTGTCTCCTAGTTTCGCAATTGATTCTAAGAGTAAGAGATGAAAACAAATTATCAATTGAAAATACAAATAAAAAATATTTAAAATATATAATAATTTAAAATTTTCAAGTGACAATTGTCCTATCCATCTCCTTTGATCCATCCTTTATTGTATCAAATTCGAAATGGTCCAATGCAATGGGAATTCTTCCCTTTTTTTTAGTTTTGTCAAATGACAGAACAAAAGCATTCTTTTTGCATTGTTTTCAATCATATGGTCAATAGAAGATAAAAGAAAATCACCAAACGTTGCAGAAATCTTCAACATTGGCTTATTATCTTTTAAATCCCTTTCTTTTTCTCGGAATCCTATAAAGATAAAGTTGGTTTCTTGGAAGCCACTCTAGAGGGTAAGTGAATTTATGATATAAATACATCGAGAGGACTAAACCTGTCACACTGAATGAATCCTTCAAATTCAAGTATCTTTTCTTAATTTTTTCTCGTGCTTCCTGTCAATTCTTTATTCTTTCAAGTTTTCATCTCTTTGCTTCATATTTTCATTTTCTGATAGAAAAAAAAGGAAGTTGGAAAAGATGGTATTCTTTCAAGTTTTCATCTCTTTGCTTCATATTTTCATTTTCTGATAGAAAAAAAAGGAAGTTGGAAAAGATGGCAAAGTATTCAACGGAGCAGGAAATTGAGTGTGGTTTAATAGGAGTTTTCCACTGGTGGAACAACTGGTCCCGAAAATCATCGGTGCCGGCATTGCAGGGAAAGGGGATGCATAAGGTATTAAAAGAGGCTGTCACTGATAAGTCTAAAAGGATTTCAAACATTGATGATTCCAGGAGAAGACGTAGTTGCAGCACTGTGGATTCAGACTCAGTACTCCAGGATTCATCCAACTTGGCTTTACCGAAACCGAGAAGGAAGTCCGACGTGTTTCCACCACGGAATTCAATCTCAAATGCAGCTAGAAGCACCACATCATCATCTGGTTCAACATATCACTCCAAGGAGCTTGCTAAGGTGATAATTAAAGATGAACAACAATCAAACAATAACAAAGCTCTCATTCGAGCAACTTCTAGTAATGTAATGCTAGCAAGCCAATTAGGGAACCTGAGGCAGCTAGGAGCTGGGAGTGGCACAGGGAAGAATGGTTCCAATGCAACAATTGATGTTTTGGATGATTTCTATCACAAGGCACATTCCACACAAAATCCACCAAGAAAAAACAACATTGACAAACTTGCCAGCTCGGTCATGGGAAATATTATAAGGCAGCCTAGTGACGAATTTAAACAGTTTCACGGTCCAACCACAAGATTGGATCCTGAAACACTGGAGAGCAAGGGGAATGAGGCATATAAGCAGGGAAGGTTTGAAGAGGCATTGGCTTTATACGAACGAGCAATTTCTCTCAATTCTAAACAGGCAACGTATCGGTGTAATAAGAGTGCGGCCTTGTTAGGCTTAGGTCGTCTTATGGAGGCTGTCGTCGAGTGCAAAGAAGCTATCCAACTTGATCCTACTTATTGCAGAGCTCATCGCCGTTTGGAAAAAATTTATCTCAGGTAGTATTGAATTATATTGTAAAACTTTATATGATCATCCACACTGGAAAAATTCTAAAATTATCATTGCTTGCAATGCAGATTGGGGAAACCAGAACAAGCATTATATCATTACAAAAATGCTGGCAATCATGCAGATTCTAATGACATATCTGAAGCTCAGACTCTAATTCAATGCCTCAAAAGATGCACCGATGCACGAAAATCACATGAATGGAACAGTTTAGTTAATGAGACTCAATGTGCTATAACCTCAGTGGTCGACTACGCACCTGAGGTAGCTTTCTTTACCATTTATATACATTGAATATCAGCATATGCTGCATATAGTTGCTTATGGTCATTTGTACTTTGTGATCAATTCCAGGTCTATGCTCTACAAACAGAGGCCTTATTGAATCTCCATAGGCATCAAGAGGCTTATACGTCATCCAACAAAGGACCAGAATTTGCCATTGAATCTTGTATTAATTTCTTTGACCTGGCCGTTTGTGCTTATCTCTTAATGATCAAAGCACTTGTCTACATGGTTTCGGGCAGGTTAGTTGAAATAAATCTCCATAACCAAGTATAAAGCATATAAACTGTTTATTTATACATCTGCATACACCCAGATTATTGTAGTTTAATAGTTAATTGAGGACTTGATGAGATGATAATAGGCTAGATGAGGCTGTATCAGCAGCACAGCATGCGGCTAGACTGGATCCAGGCAACAAGGAAATAAGCTTAGTGGTAATGAAAACTAAAGCGGTATCATCGACTCGATTGAGTGGTAACTTGCTCTTCAAGGCATCGAAATTCGTAGAGGCTTGCATCGTATATAGTGAAGGACTCGAATACGATCCATACAACTCAGTTTTGCTATGCAACAGAGCAGCTTGCCGATCTAAGTTAGACCAATTCCAGAAGGCTATTGAAGATTGCACAGCTGCTCTCAATGTTCAACCTTCCTACAGGAAAGCAAGGCTAAGGAAAGCTGATTGTAATTCCAAGGTAAACAAATAATTCCAAGACGTGATTCCTCCGGAAACGGATTGTTCATTTTTTGATTCTCCACTTTATCTATAACCAGCTTGAAAGATGGGAAATGGCAAGCCAAGATTATGAGATGTTGATAAGGGAAACTCCAGGAGACGAGGAGGTTGTTCGGGATTTATTCGAGGCTAATGTCCAACTCAAGAAGCAGCAAGGTCAAGACATGGAGGACTTGAAGTTTGGGTCAAATCTGGTTTTGGTCTCTAGCAACGAGCGTTTCAGGCACTTTGTAACCTCACCTGGTAAGTAGTCATCTCCACTTGTTTTGAGCTCATCGGTAAATCTAATTCGATAATCATTTTACTCGAACGACAGGGATGAGTGTGGTGCTTTTCTGCAGCAAAGTAAAACACAAGCAAGTAGAGAAGATTATGGAGCAAGTGTGCAAGAGGTTCCCATCTATCTTCTTCATCAAGGTGTCTCATAGTCATCTTCTTTCTAAGAATTACATTTATTTGAAGCATCAATAAAATAATGGAAGTAGTAAAGCGTGTGGTTGATTGGGATTGGCAGGTGGAGATAGAAGATCATCCTTACTTAGCTAAGTCAGAGGCTTTAAGCTCCATTCCAGCATTCAAAATATACAAGAATGGATCAAGAGTGAAAGAAGTTCCTGGAAATAACCCTGAATTGCTAGAAAGTTCAGTCAAATTGTACAGCAGTTGAAGATGGAAGTAGACAACAAGATAGGGCAAGAACAAAGAGAAGATATGGATGAAGATTTGCCACCATTTGTTTATAAAGAAAGAGAGAGAAATAATTTTAATGATGGGCTAAATCCTAATCATGTCTGCTAAATTACTTTGTAGACATTAAATTCACACTTGTAGGGAAAGCTGAGTGAAATCAGGGTGGCAACTTGTGATTTAAAGACGCATAGAGGAGATTATCTTATTTTTCGTTTTTTATTTTAGTTTTCTTTTACTGTTTTAAAAAGGGAATAATCAAACAGTTGTTTATATTGCATTTATAAAAAGATAATAATAATAATTTTTCTTTACTAATTTATTAATGACTAACCAGAGCTTAACCCCATTCTTAAGGATGGAAGTACATTATGGTGGGAGGTAGGAGTGTATTTCATTCGGTTCAATTTTGTAGTTTTTAACTATTTTTTTTTTAAATTCAACATCTGAACAAAAACCTTCAAGCTTAAATCGACTACAAACACACTAGTTTAAATTAAAAAATATTATTAGTTTTAGGACTTTATTTATTTAAGTTTATCTTATAACAAATTCAAAATTGATTTGATTTGGATAATTATTTCTTTTTCTTTTTTAATTCGATTTAATTTGGAATAAACATAGTTCATATAGAAAATTGAAACTGGACCGAATTTTTAAATTAAATATCAAAATCGAATCACAAAATAAAAAAAAATTGAATCGAATTGAACAACATAATACTATTCGAATCAGTTTTACGATTTTCTTTTTGTTTTAATAGAACGGAGCCTAAAAACTCAGGCTTGCACTGCATATCAGTAGCTTGGACAGTAGAGACAGAATCAGAAGCGAGAAGATCCACAGCTTCCACCGAAGGGGAATCATAAATCACCAGGATGAAATGATCACGCAAGCCAATCTTGGCCAAGCAGTCTGCAACTTTATTGCTAGATCTTGGAATCCATTGGAATTGGACTTCCCATTCACGTGGACAAAGAGCAGCAATGGCGCGAACAAGCGAGAGGTGGTTGCATTCGGTTTTAATAACCTTCAGTAAATTAATAGCTTGGGCATTGTCAGATTGGACAATGATTTTTGAAGCACTGGTATTCCAAGCAATAAGGAGACACATATGGATGCCCCAAAGCTCGGCTTGGAGGAAAGAGCTAACACCGATGTTCTTACAGAAACAAACTACCCAGTCACCATTCGAGTCACGGATAACACCTCCAATCGATCCTCTTCCAGTGGTTGACGAACCAGCTCTATCCGAATTCAGGCAGACCCAGTCAGCAGGGGGCTTGATCCATGATTTTTTATCGGAAGCTTGAGCCTGGTTTCTGCGCAAAGTAGGGGTAGGCCAGTCATAACATGCCGAAGTTCTGCTGCAATATAAGATTTGGCCAATTGGTAGCAAGGAGTTGTTGAAGATAAGTTCACTCCTTTGTTTCCAGATTTGCCAAATGATTGAAGCAAAATAACAAGACCATGAAGGATCCCCACTGACCAGTGGCTTCTTCATCTCGAGATTGTTCAGTGTCCAAGATCGAATATCAAGGGAGAATAAGGTACCGTGTAAGGGTTGAGGCACGACCCAATTCCAAAGACTACGAGCCCGATCACAGTCATGGAGAACATGGATAACAGTTTCAAGAGAAGCACCACAAGCAGGACAAGTATGATTGTCCGTGAGCATACGCATGCCCCCTTACAATTATTCATAACTTTCTCCTTAAGGACAAGCCAAATGAAAATTCAGATTCGTTGGAGAATATGAAGTGACCAAATGAATTTCCAACAACTATCTTTAGCATCCCATTGGTTCTCGGTTAGTTTGGTATATATACGTTGAGCCAACTTCAAAGCATAGCTTTTTGCTCCACGGCCAGATAGGTTGATCATTGACATCAGTGCTGGTAGGGGTTTCACGTTGATGTGAGCAATAACATTAGGCTTAATGATGAGAGCAAGAGCTATTCGTCCCAATGACCATTGTTGGTCATAAAGCTGCCAAAGCTTAGGTTGGAGTCAATGCAGTTGGGGTTAAGAATTGACGCCAGACAGAATAGTGATTATCCTGTAGGCTAGCTTCGACAGACGATTCACAAGAGAAAATTCGCCCAAAAACCAGAGAAAAAAGTCTCTAGGGTTTAATAAAATATTATAAAATCAAACAATGCCAAAAAGCAGTCCACAAGCCGGACTGTTATAGCCAAAAATCGTCTTTATTCGAATTTTGCCAAAAATAGCAAAATCCCGAAAATCACTCTAAATTGAAATTCGAAATAAAATAAGCAATCTCCCAAAAATCCGGCCTAAATCGGATTTAAATTGACTTCCTAATTAACAATCGAAATATTACCATAAATAGTAAAAAATAACTAAATCTAGTGATCCGGAGGGGAAAACAGCAGATTTGAGGTCGAAAAGAGCTTTCCGGATTGGGGTCTTATGCGCGATTCTGACACCTGTAGCCAAAGTTATGGCCAAAAGACTGAAATATACTCAAAACGACACCAATGAGGAACATGTCATAATCAATTCCCGCCTTTGCGCTGATCTGCCAACTCATGGTATCTCAGCGCCATAAACGTGCAATCTGACAGCTCAGCATCATCTGTCTCGGATCCCCCTGCATCAGTCACCCCGGGTTGGAAAGAACTCGTCCTCGAGTTCAGAGTAGTGTCAACAGGATCCACAAAACAATGACTCAAGTGCTTCACATTAAAGACATCAGAAGTCTTCAAGTGACTGGGAAGTCGTAACCTGTAAGCATTATCATTGATCTTCTGCACGACCTCACAAGGTCCAATCTTTCGATCCTTAAGCTTATTATACTCACCAACAGGAAAACGATCACGAGTTAATACAACCCAAACAAAATCACCAACATCAAAAAGTACCTGACGACGATGTTTGTCGACCCGAGTCTTGTACTTGGTATTGCTCTCATGAATGGTCTGTTTCACCTGCTCATGGATACCCCGAAGATACTTTGCCATCTCATCTGCTTTAGGACTGAAATGTCCTATACGTGGAATAGGGGCTAAGTCCAACACCCCGGATGGGTTCTGACCATAGACAATCTCAAATGGACTTAAACCTGTGGTTCTATTTTTTGATCTGTTGTAGGCAAATTCTGCATGAGGCAATGCCAAATCCCACTGCTTCGGCTTCGTTCCTGCCAAACACCTCAAAAGGTTTCCCAAACTTCGGTTCACCACCTCGGTCTGGCCATCCGTCTAGGGGTGGTAGGCGCTACTGAAATTCAACTGCGTTCCTAGTTTCCCCCACAGGCTCTTCCAGAAATGACTGATGAACTTAGTATCACGATCTGAAGTGATGGATCGAGGAACACCATGTAAACGCACAATCTCCTTGAAATAGAGATGGGCAATCCGGTCAGCATCCATAGTCTTTCTGCAAGCTACAAAATGAGCCATCTTGGAAAACCTGTCAACCACAACAAAGATAGAATCAGAGGCCCTTTGGGTGCGGGGTAAGCCTAGTACAAAATCCATGCTGACATCGAACCAAGGAGCTTCAGGAACAGGTAAGGGAGTGTACAATCCTGCATTGGTGAGAACACCCTTAGACCGCTGGCACACATAACAACGGTCCACATAATGGGCCACATCACTAGTTAACTTGGGCCAATAAAATTCAGAAGAGATAAGGGCCAATGTCTTATCTCGGCCAAAGTGTCCCTCATTATGGAGTTCACTTATAATTTGCTGCCTCAATGAACAATCTGGAATGCACAACTGTAATCCACGAAACAGATACCCATTATGCAAAACAAAATCATGACGGTGACCCTCAGTTACCTCCTGAAATATCCTTCCAAAGGAAGGATCAGCTGCATACATATCTGTGAACATCTCAAATCCTGTAACTTTAGTACTCATGGTGGTGAGAAGTAAGGTACGACGACTCAGGGCATCTACGACGCGGTTCAAACTCCTTGCTTGGTGCCTCAGCGTAAAAGTGAATTCTTGCAAGTATGCTACCCACTTGGCATGACGTCTACTCAGCTTGTGTTGGCCATTGATGTACTTCACGGCCTCATGATCGGTAAACAGAATAAACTCCTTCTGTACTAGGTAGTGACGCCAATGCTTTAGGGACTGAACTATGGCATAGAACTCCAGATCATAAGTGGAATAATTTTTCTTTGATCCCGATAGCTTCTCACTGAAAAAAGCAACTGGACGACCTGCCTGACTCATAACACCACCAATGCCAACGCCAGATGCATCACAATTTACCTCGAACACTTTGTCAAAATCTGGAAGTGCCAAAACTGGTGCCTCGGTCATCTTCTGCTTGACCAGTTGAAAACTGGCCTATGCCTCCTCAGACCACTGGAAATCACGCCCCTTGAGGCACTCTGTGATAGGGGAGATTAGAGTACTGAAATTTCTAATGAATCGGCGGTAAAAAGACGCCAAGCCATGGAAACTTCGGATGTCATGTAAGGTTCTTGGTCTGGGCCACTCCAAGACTGCATCTATCTTTGACTGATCTGCATGAACACCATCAGTAGACACAACAAAACCAAGAAAAGTCACAGAAGTAGTGAAGAAAGAACACTTCTTTGATTGACAAACAAGCACTCCGTTTTCAGCATCTCAAAACAGCACGGAGGTGATCGAAGTGTGAAGTCCATGTCGGACTATAAACGAGGATATCATCGAAGTAAACTACAACAAATTTCCCCATAAAAGGTCACAAGACCTGATGCATAAATCTCATGAACCTACTGGGCGCATTGGATAACCCAAAAGGCATGACCATCCACTCATACAACCCTTGTGGCGTTTTAAACGCCGTATTCCACTCATCTCCAGGCCTTATTCTGATTTGGTGGTAACCGCTCTTAAGGTCAATTTTTGAGAAGACCTTAGAACCAGATAGCTGATCCAACATATCATCTAGACGGGGAATTGGAAACCGGTACTTCACTGTAATTCTTTTGATCGCTTGGCTGTCAACACACATACGCCAAGAACCATCTTTCTTTGGCACTAACAGAGCAGGGACTACACATGGGCTCATACTCTCTCGGATATAGCCCCTCTCCAACAACTCTTCCACCTGTCGCTGCAACTCTTCAGCCTCCTTGGGACTGAGGCGATATGCTGGTCGATTTGGCAAACTTGACCCAGGAACAAGGTCAATTTGATGCTGAATATCCCTCATAGGTGGTAGTCCAGGAAGAAGA